GCCCCGTACGTAATTTGAATAACGTCGCCACCTCATTGTTCGTCTTCGTCAACAAGTTTTTTAAACAAAGGACCTTACCTTGGTTCAAAGCTTCCTGTGCCAGGTCTTTAAATAAATAAGGCTTATCTGATGTAAAAGATGTGTTAGTGTATTCAGGGCGCTCTCATTTCAAAGGTGTTGGGCTCAAAGAACGTCTGTTTACGGTTGAGGTGTGCCGAAGTGTCATGTGAGTGCTGCTTTCAATACAATAGAACAGGGAAAAGTGTCTTGTATAACACAAAGGAGACGCACCGTGGGACAGACCTTTGCAAGTTGCTATAGCCTTACAGCCGGATGAGGCCTGTCTCTTATACACATCTAGATGTGTATAAGAGACAGGACTTATAGAGACTGAATGTGTGGTGAGACTTATAGTGACTGAATGTGGAGGATGTGGTGAGACTTATAGTGACTGAATAGAGGAAGACATGGTGAGACTTATTGTGACTGAATAGAGGAAGACATGGTGAGACTTATAGTGACTGAATATAAAGAAAGACATGGTGAGACTTATAGTGACTGAATGGAGGGAGACATGGTGAGACTTATAGTGACTGAATATGGAGGAAGACATGGTGAGACTTATTGGGACTGAATAGAGGGAAACATGGTGAGACTTATAGTGACTGAATATGGAGGAAGACATGGTGAGACTTATAGTGACTGAATGTGGAGGTGAATCTCATACTGACTGAACGGAGGAAGACATGGTGAGAGTTATAGTGACGACTGAATAGAGGGAGACATGGTGAGACTTATAGTGACTGAATGTGGAGGAAGACATGTTAAAACAATGACAGCACACATATACATATACAATTTTTTACACGCTCATGTACGTGTGATGTTTTTCCGTACTTTGTGCGCCACTGAGGGCGCCTTAGCTCACCTTATGCGCCACTAAGGGCCCCTTATCTCACCTTATGCGCCACTAAGGGCCCCTTATCTCACCTTGTGCGCCACTAAGGGCCCCTTATCTCACCTTGTGCGCCACAAAGGGCGCCTTATCTCACCTTGTGCGCCACTAAGGGCACCTTGTCTCACCTTGTGCGCTACTAAGGGCGCCTTATCTCACCTTGTGCGCCACTAAGGACCCCTAATCTCACCTTGTGCGCCACTAAGGGCGCCTTATCTCACCTTGTGGGCCGCTAAGGACCACTTATCACACCTTGTGCACCACTAAGGCCCCTTGTCTCACCTTGTGCGCCACTAATGGCGCCTTATCTGACCTTGTGCGCCACTAAGGGCATGCCCTTATCTCACCTTATGCGCCACTAAGGGCATGCCCTTATCACAGTACTGAGCAGAGAAGCGCGTCCTAGTGTCGGCACGCGCGTCGTCGGCGACGCTGAAGACCTCCTGCTGGTGGCAGCTGCCGTAGAGCACAGCGCCCGCACTGCACCAGCCTGCCACCGTGCACAGCCACTGCAGCCACTCTGTAGTATAAACATAAAACAAAATTAGTTTCATTGTGATTACTATTTGGTGTTTAGTATCATTTTTACCATTACTATCATCATTATCATTATTATAATATAGTTATAATAATGATTATCAAGACGTATGATACACTAAAAGTTCGACAGTGCGTTATGTATATGTTAGAAGGATATACGAGTTAGAAAAGTGAACAAAAAAGAAGCCAGATAAGGAGTGTACAGCAGTCGGAATCGCCAGTCATGTCTTTATTAGTTATGCAGGAAAACGTTCATCATGCAGGAAAAAATTCCCAAGTTAAGTCCTACAACATAAATAAATAAAAAAAACAACTTTGTACTTCGCTGTTTAATCATTCAGTAGTAGGTTTCAATTCTATTGTTCAGTCAGGGCTTGGTATTTCTAAAAAATGGCACTGCAACATTAGAAGTCGAGATAAAGAAGTGATGAAAGTGAAGGCAGCGATGAAAGTGAAGGCAAGGATGAAAGTGAAGGCAGGGATGAAAGTGAAGGCAGGGATGAAAGTGAAGGCAGGGATGAAAGTGAAGGCAGCGATGAAAGTAAAGGCAGGGATGAAAGTAAAGGCAGGGATGAAAGTGAAGGCAGGGATGAAAGTGAAGGCAGCAATGAAAGTGAAGGCAGGGATGAAAGTGAAGGCAGCAATGAAAGTGAAGGCAGCAAAGTTTTTTTTTAAATTAGCAGAACAACTAAGTTCCGCATGCAGCTGCTGAAAGTCGTGTTCTTTGTTTCCTTGAGGAATTACAAACTGAGAAAT